GCTAAGATCTTGTATCCCTCTTGTTTTTGTTCTCTAGCCTCTAAAGAGTTATACAGAAGTTGTTCTACTGTCAATTTTTATTTTCGGCCCCTTACAGTGAAGCTGTGCTCTACCTCAGTCTTTTTGGAGCTGCTCTTAAGTGATCAGGCATGTTGCACTTATTTAACGATACTCCTACCATCTCTCTGTTCAGCTTTAGTTCTAATATTTTTGAACTTTTCACAGTTTTGCTCCATTTTGGGTTTTGGAGCTGAAGTCTCCTATTACTACTACAGCTAAAATAACTGAAATACTACAGACCCTGTCTATGCTGTTATTAATAAGGGTATTTTGGGTTCATTATTTTTTTACTGACTTATCTTTCTCTCTCTCTTTCTCTTTATGTGTGTATGTGTTCACATATATACACGCATGCACACAAAGAATTGGAAGTTAATTTTGTAATTCTGGAACAAACTTGCTTTTGGTGTGATTTTGAAGATTTAGATGTACCCCTTATCTTGAGTTCCTGCCACCTTTCCAAAGGAGGGAGATAACAATTCATCTACCAAACAAGAGATTGTAGAGATTAATTAGTATCTGGGTAGTGCTTTTAGAATATGGCTGTGATCAAATGACATTGACTTTTCAACTGATACTATCTTACTCCTTTTTTTTTTTTTTCTACAAAAAGATTTTCAGGATGATTGCTGTCAGTATTGCTGACAGGTTTGAGATTTTCACTTCTTTGTTTTATCAAAATGCTGTGAAAGTACTTGTGAGGGAAGGTATACTAGTCTTCCCTCATAACGTCCCAAAACACAAAGTTCATTTTTGCTTTTCTTTTTTTCTTCTATCTTGCACGTCCTTTGAAACTCCCCATGCCTAGCCTAACTCTCAAGGCAACAATAGCCAATACATTATGGAAGAGAAATTCCAGGACTGATGTATAGTAAAATCTCATAGATAAATATTTTTAATATAGTTGGAGACATGAATATTTCCGTGGAATATATCCAAAGTCTGTGATATCTATGTGCACAGTAATTTATACATATAGTTTTATTCTTTATTTTGAAAATGTTTATGTGTTGTAATCATTTTCCCCTCTCCCCCCCAGTGTCTTTTACATAATTCTGCAGTAAATGATCAGGGAGGGATATATTCTGTAAAATGCGTGCACCCACAGAACAAGTATTGGTATGATACTGAAGTCTGAATAGTTCTGCACTTGTGATAAATATAGACATCTTGACTGCATTTTGAGCAAAATTCCATCCTGTAGTGAATGATTGCAGACATATGACATGGGCACGATATATATCACATACCTTGCTCTTTGTTCTGATATCCTGCCCTGAATTTGCATGCTGTTTTATGCAGATATCATGCAGGCTTTATGTGATCTGGCAGGCATGCCAGGAAGAAATCTTGCTCGCAACATCGGTGTTTCTCAGTTTACCTGATCTGAGTGTACCTGGCGGTCAAAGCAAACAAGCAGCATGATAGAGATATGGAAATCCTCTCACCTTTCCTGGCTGCTTTTCTAACAATCTGAACATCCGCCCCCATCACAAACCAAAAAAGTTGCTGTTACTAAAATTAAAATTTCCAGAGCTATAAATAACCAAGGAATGAGCTATTGAGAATTGCCAAAATATGTATGCTTTGTGAGCATTTTTTATTTCTTTCTTCACAAAACTGAAAGGTGGTTTC